TACCGCTTGAGCCACATCCCCAGCCCTTTGTTTTGTTTTCTAACCTGTAGTTATGGCAGTTTTGATTGGTGGTCTTTGTGCTCCATTATTTAGGGTTCTGTTGAAGTAGAGTCAGGCTGTGATGGGGCAGACACATTTGCCTGTCACAAAAAAACAAGAAATTCCCTTCAAGGCAGTACTGGGRAAGTACAACATTATTTAACATTTCATAATAGAAAGAAATTGACTGGAACGTATTCCTCAAAGTAAAGGGAGTGTTCCTCTTCAAGCTCAAGCTTTTATTGTTGGCATATTTTTTTTTTTCATTTCATACAGGCATGTCAGTGCAACACTATTTTCAGGGATGTAACCATAATAACTATATGAGATTTGATTAGGCTTTTTGTGAGGAAGGTGGGGAACTACTGGGAATCAGACTTGGACCTCACACGTGCTAGGGAAGCACTCTACCACTGAGATACCTTCCCAATTCTACTTGATTAGACTGTTTCTTACTAGAACTTCAGTATACAGGATAAATACACAGTATCTTGTTGCTAMAGAATGACACCTGTTCTTTTTACGTTTATAAGTTTTTGTGTGTGTCTGTGTGCGTGTATGTATCTGAAGAGCCAAAAGTTTAGCTGACATATTTTAAATATGTTTGCCTTCCTCTTCAGTAACTTTTCAGTCTAGATAAATGGATGTTTCAATTCAGAAAACCTCTGTATAATGGCATGGATGTTTTCAGAAACAGAGCATTTCTGAAGTACTTTGGAGAGCTGCCTGTAATTTTAGTCTTTTTTTCTAGGCAGGCATTCAGCAACCCATTTTGTTGTACCTTGCAGTGTTCCAAGTTCTACCTTTTTCTCTTGTAGGCGTTCTAGAGATCAACAAAAGGGTAAGAACTCACTTCTTATTTAATTACAATATTAACTTTTTGACAATAAGATATAATGTCATTTAATTATTTATTAGATGATTTATTTAGTAATGTTCCCCTACTATAAAATGTTCACTGATCTGGTTTCTTTCATATCAAAATATATGAGAACATTTGATTTCAAAAGAGATCCTGATTATCCCTTTATCTTTCTGCATGGTTTTATGCCTCTCAAGTAGGTAGTGAGTTATTAATGAACTACTATTTTATTAAATTATGAAATGAGCAAGGTATGTTTTTCAAAGAAATTACTTCCAAACTTTGTTAAAATTATCATTAAGCTGCAAAAAAAAAAAAGGTTTTATTTTAATCGAAAGATGTAGGTCCAAAGTTTGATTTATGGTATGTAAATAAGCTTTATAATCACATGTAAATTTTTTAATTCAATCAGTTTGGGGTTCTATTGTTTTTTCTTCATTTGTAAAGTTGTTACATGGGAGGAAAAAAGGAACAAATTATAATTGAGTAATTATAATTGAGTAAAAGAATCAGGATATAGTTCAGTGGTAGAACACATGCCTAAAATATGCAAGGTCTTGGATTAAGTCCCTAACACCAAAAATTTTAAAAATGTTTAAAAACCCACAGAATCAAGTTTTCTACCTTCCTCTGGGTGAATAATTATTTACTGACCTCTTCTACTAGACTTTAAGTATCTAAAATCAAGAGGACAAGGTCTTGAGGGTCTACTAATAATCACTAGCAAACAAGATAAATGTATTTAAACATTTTATAAAAATAATACTGTAAAATGCATAAACTAAAAACATCAGTTACTAATTATTGTTTACTTTGTGATAAGTGCTTTTGAATATTTTATAACACAGTAACATATAATGTGTTTAATTCAGAAATTAAGCAATTATACAAATCCTAAAAGTGGAAGAGCTATGTGGAACCTTTTTACAAATAGACTATTTCCAAATAGTATAGATCTCAATGTAAGTCTTAGCAAATGCTGAATAATTGATAAATTCCCATATATCTTGTCAGACCATAATGGAATGAAGCTTGAAGTCAACAGTAAGAAAATATAGAAATCTGTAAACACATGAGATTGAATAATACTCTTAAATGAAGAATGGATCATAGAAGAAATGAGAGAAGAAATWAAAAAAATTCTTAGAAATAAATGAACAAAGATAGTAGATCCCAAATAAATAAGCTTAGGCTCCATTTCAAAGCCTTAGAAAAGAAAGAAAATAATTCCAAAGTCAGTAGAAGACAGGAAATAATTAAGATGAGAGTCAAAATCAATGGCATTAAGACTAAGAAAACAAATACAGAATCAGTGCAACAAAGAGTTGGTTCTTTGAAAAAAATAAATAAGATTAAGAAACCCCTAGCCACTAACCAAGAAAAAGAGAGAATACCCAAATCAACAAAAAAGAGATATCACCACAGACCCTTCTGAAATCCAGAGGATTATCAGAACCTATTTTGCAAATTTATACTCTAATAAACTAGAAAATCTAGAAGATATTGACAGATTTCTAGATATATTTGAACTGCCCAAATTGAACCAGGAAGATACAGAAAACCTAAATTAAGACCATTATTAAGTAATGAAATTGAAAACAGCAATTAAAAGCCTTCCAACAAAGAAAATCCAAGGACCAGATGGATTCTGAGCTGAGTTCTATCAAACCTTGAAAAACTAACACCAGTCTTAAATTATTCCATGAAATTGAAAGGGAGGGAACATTCCCAAATATATTTTATGAAGCCAGTACAGCTCTGATACTGAAACCAGACAAAGACACATCAAAGAAAGAAATCTACAGACTAATATCCCTGCTGAACATTGATGCAAAATCCTCAATAAAATATTAGTAAATGTATTCAAAAACATATCAAAAAGATGATATGCCGTGATTTTCATTCCACGGATACAAGGTTGATTCAGTGTATGCAAATCAATAAATGTAATTCACCACTTAAACAGAATTAAGAACAAAAATCACATGATCATCTTGATAGATGCAAAAAGACCTTTGATAAAMTAGAATACCCTTTTATATTAAAAGCTCAAGAAGCCAGGGATAAAAGGAACTTACCTCAACATGATAAAGGCTATTTATGACAAACACGGGCCAACATCATACTAAATGGAGAAAAACTAAAAGCATTTTCTCTAAAATCAGGAGCAGGACAAGGATGCCCACTCTCATCATTTCTGTTCAATATAGTTCTTAAAACACTAGTCAGCAATCAGGCAAAAGAAGGAAATTAGAGGGACACAAATAGGAAAAGAAGAAGTCAGACTGCTTGCTGATGACATGATCCTCTATTTAGAAGACCCCCCCCATCAAAAAAAGAAAAACTCTTAACAAAAGACTTTTAGAGCTTATAATGAATTTAGCAAAGTAGCAGGATACAAGATTAACTTTTGTAAATTAATAGCATTCCTGTATTCTAACAGTAATTCAGCTGAGGAAGAAATCAGTAAAGCCATCCCATTCACAATAATGTCAAACAAACAAACAAACAAACAAAACCTTGGGAATTAATGTAAGCAAGAAGATAAAAGATCTCTACAATCAAAATTATAGAACACTGAAGAAAGAAATTGAAAATCCATTTTAGAAAATGGAAAGACCTCCTATGATCTTGGATAGGAAGAATTAATATTGTCAAAATGACAGTACTGCCAAAAGTAATATACAGATTCAGTGCAATTCCTATCAAAATACCATTGACATTCTCCACAGAATTAGAAAAAGCAATCCTTAAATATGTTTGGAAGAATAGGAGACCCAGAATATCCAAGTGCTACTGAGCAAGAAAAATGATGCAAGACATATCACAATAAATGATCTGAAATCATACTACAGAGCTGTAGTAACAAAAACATCATGGTATTGACATCAAAATAGACTTGAAGACTGATGGAATAGAAGACACAGAGACAAACCCCATATATTTAGAGCCATCTGATACTTGACAAAGGTCTCGAAAATGTGTCTTGGAGAAAAGACAATCTTTTTAACAGRTGGTGCTAGGAAAACTGGACAGCTATATGTATAAAAATGAAACTGGATCCCTATCTCTCACCCTGCACGAAAAGTTAAAAAGGATTAAAGAGTTAGACCAGAAACCTTGCAGCTGTTGGAAGAAAACAGAGTCAACACTCCATCGTATTGACTTTCCTAAAAGATCACCAGAGCTCAAGAAATAAAATAAAGAATCAATAAGTGGAATGCCATCATATTAAAAAACTTCTGCACAGCAAAGGAAACAATCACAAGTGTGAAGAGAAAGTCTACRGAATGGGAGAAAATCTTTGACAAGAACTCCTCTGATAAGGTATTAAGATCCAGGATAGGGCTGGAATTGTGGCTAAGCAGTAGAGCACTCACCTGGCATATTCGAGGCCTGGGTTCGATTCTCAGCACCACATAAAAATAAATAAATAAAATAAAAGATATTTTTAAAAAAAGATCCAGGATATAAAGAACTCAAAAAACTTAAAACACCAAAAACTAAAAAAATAAAAATAAAAACCCAACCAAAAATGGGCAAATTCATAATGTTTCCTGTTTGTATATGAATACAAAAGCGGTATAACTCCATATGATGTACAACCACAAGAATAGGAAGTTATACTCCATGTGTGTATAATATGTCAAAATACACTCTACTGTCATGTATATCTAAAAAGAACAAATAAAAATTTAAAAATAAATAAATGGGCAAATGAACTAAACAGAAATTTTATAAAAGAAACACACAATAGTTAACAAATATATGAAAAAATGTTTAACATTTTTAGCAATCAGGGAAATGCAGATCAAATTTAATATTTCATCTTACTTGTATCAGAATGACAATTATCAAGAACACAAACAATAATAAATGCTGTCAAGGATGTAGGAGAAAGGTCTACTCAAACATTGTGGAGGCACTATGGAAAGCAGTATGGAGATTCCTCAAAAAACTAAGAAGAGAACCACAATATGATCCAGCTAACCCACTACTTGCATTTATCCAAAAGAACTAAAATCAGCATGTTATAGCAATACAGCCACCTCAGTGTTTATAGCAGCACAGTTCACAATAGTCAAATTGTGAAATCAACCCAGATGCCTGTCAGTAGGTGAATGGATTAAGAAAAATGTGGTGTGTTTATATAGTGGGGTTTTACTTAGCCATGAAAAAGAATGAAGTTTTGGCATTTGCTGGTAAATGAATTGAAATAGAAAGTGAAATAAGCCAATCTCAGAAAACTAAGGGTCAAATATTTTCCCTCATATGTGGAAGCTAAAGCACAATGACAGTAAGGAGGAGGAGAGGACCGTGTATCATAAAGATATAGGGAAGACTACTGGAGTAGAAAGRGAGGAAGGACAAGAAAGGGGAGGAAATGTAGCAACTTAGTGAAAAGCTTTCTAAAAATTAAAAATAAAAAAGGGCTGGAGATGTAACTCAGTGGCAAAGTATCCCTGGGTTGAATCCATAATACTGAGGGAAAAAAAGAAAGAARAAAAAATTACTTAAGGGCCAGGATCCTGTGTAGTCCTATATATTTAACCTGTTTGTTAAGATTGTCAATCTTCACTAAGCTTTCTTCAATAGAAATAGACAGGTTTTCATTTTATATCTTGTTGCTCTTTCATTGCTATGAATATTTGCTTATATTGGCTTTTGTTAATTATTAAAATAAGTATAGAATCAAGTTGTTTGCTGTAGCTATATGGAGACTCATGACAGAATCATGCATAGAACTTTGGGGAACAGTCAGTCAAAGCTTTATTCAAGGTTAGGTAGGCTAGATGTCTATAGGTGTTTGGTCTTTAATATGTTTGACTTTTGTATGAATAAAAAAATCAAACAATATTAGAAATTAAAGAATAAGATAATAATAATAAAAAAACTGGAAGTGGCTGTTTCTCTTATAATTACTTTCCCAAGCTTTTCACCTCTTAATAACTAATAATTTACCTCTTTGTAAAGAACATTGCAGCATAAAGAATTGAGTCCCTGGCAGGATATGCATGGTAGATTCAATATTCATTAGAATTACCTGACCTTACTGTATGCCAATGTCCATAAGGAACAGGATTTGATTAATAGGTATTGACAAAGCTATGAAGCTAAAMATTTTGGTGCATCATTTTGACAGATATGTGCTACACTTTATTAATGCTCTAGTCTGAGAATCAAATAGCTTACTGTTCACCCCTAATAACATCCTAGCCTAAAGTTATTGAATTGTAATTAAATTTTAAAAATTTATTTTATATATTTATTTATTTTGGGGCACTTAACCACTGAGCCATATCCCTAGCCCTTTTTGTATTTAGAAACAGGGTCTCTGAGTTGCTTAGATCTTCACTAAGTTTCTGAAGCTGGCTTTGAACTTGAGATTCTCCTGCCTCAGCTTCCTGAGCTACTGAGATTACAGGCATGTGCCACCATGCCTGGCTAAATTGTAATTAATTTTTAATGCTAGGCAGCAAGGTTGTAATAATGACCTGAATATTAAGCAAGAGGATAAACCATGGTGAACACTCAGAAGATTGGCCTTCTGGTCTTTTCTCAGGTGATATCTGCCTTTCCCCTCAGATTTTCGGGAACGTAACAGATGCTACTCTGTCTCATGGAATACTGATTGTGATGTACAGCTCAGGACTGGTCAGACTCTATAGCTTCCAAGCCATCACTGAACAGGTAGAGAAAACTGAAATTTTCTATATTTTACTATCATGAGGTTTGTACTACAATATGATTTTTTTTAATTAGATGCTTTTAAAATATAGCACTTCTTATTTTCAACTATATGAAATATAGAATGGAAATGTAGAAAAACAAAATAATCTATAAAAGTGGGGTGGGAAGATAAATAGAAAGGCTCTTGAATAAAAACATTTTCTCTGTCATATACATGTGAATTTTTTTTTCTCTCCAGACAGCAAATAAATAGGTGCTAAAGCCACCATTTTTTGTTTTGTTTTGTTTTTAGTTCATGCAACAGAAACTTGACTTAGGGTGTGCATGCAGATGGGGTGGGACTACTGGAACTGTAGGAGAGGCTCCTTTTGGCATTCCTTGTAATATTAAAATCACAGGTATGGCTGCTATATAGTATTTTTTATCTTAATAAGTGGGCATATAAATAATTATTCACTGTAAACATCCAAATGTTTTTAATTATAAACTGATTTTACTCGTATACAGTACATTTCCTTGCTAGTGAATAAGTATCAGCGAAATTCTGTCATGTACTCATTGAACTAAAAGCCTGGGTATGCTGAACCTTGCTTGGCCTGAGACTTTAAAGTCACTTTACATTTCAATCTTTGTATACAGCACATTTCCTTGCTAGTGAATAAGTATCAGCGAAATTCTGTCATGTACTCATTGAACTAAAAGTTTGCAGCAAACTTTTGTAAAGTACTAAATTATAAGTTCCCTTATAATTTAGTACTTTACATTTTGTGACATTTATCCATATCTAAGAAAGATGTTTTCCAGGGAAAATATTACTACCCCTCTGAACATAGACGGAACCTAACCTAAATACAGAAAGAATTTCCCAATACACTTGCAGATTGACAAAGCTCAAAAACAAAATTGTACATAATTCTATATAGTAATAATGTTCTTTATTTAACTATTTAAGTATAACCATTTTTTTAAAAAAAATAAATAAACTGTTATAGAAACTCAGCGGTATATGTTAAAAGAAAAACTTTGTGTGACATGCATCTCAGGAATCCAAGAATGGTTTAATGATTGCAAAAAGATATAAAAATCACAGGTTAAAAGAGAAAATATACTTCGTTATACCAATATCTTTATTCTTAATTCATTGAGATTCATTCCTTATCACATTGAGTTATATACCTTCTATTTCTAACCAATAAACATCATATTTTTAAGTGAAACTCCAAAGGTTTTCTAATATAGGCAGAATAAGACAGGATATTTTTCTATTATTATTTACCATTGTATCAATGGATCAAGTAACAAATAAAAGATGGAATTGTGAAAAAGGAAAAAACGTGGCTTTTTTTGTAGTAAATGATAAGTTATAAAAATATTGAGAGTTCACCATAGCCAATTAAGTTATCCATGAAGTTCAAAATGGAATATTTTAAAAATGACTCAATTCTTAAATTCCTTTGACAAGGTGAATTAGGCAACTTGATGAAAATTCAGCAGTACTTTCTAACMTCAGCAGTACCTCCTATATTCAATACAAATACACTAACAGGAATCTATTAAGAATTTTTAAACTACAGGCTCCAGTGATAACTAAAATGGGTTATCTTGAAAAGAATTTCCCAAAATGGTAGCATTATTCTTGTTTATGKGCAGAGTATAAGTGAGTAAAACAAAGAACAAAATGGTAAAGACAAAGCACATAGCACCTGAACGATTGTGCTGTAGCTTTGGTCTCTGTTTTTTGAAGGAAGATTGGATTGGAGTCATAATTGTAAATCTGCYACTATTAAAATAGTGAAATTCCTCTGCTAACTGTTAATATGGTAGTGAGCCTGTTAACCTCTCTGGGCTTACATTTCTCAACTTTAAAATAGTAATTCTTGAAAACATGAAATCACTTGTCATTGTTGAATGATATAATTCACTGATTTTTACACATTTGGCAAAGAAGAAGTAGTATGAAGCTAACTGGAAGCTTTGATTTGTTTCATATGGTACAGACTGTAATCCTTATTTCCCCAAATTTGTTTTTCAGTGTTTTTAAGATCTATCCAATACAATGTTTATTTTAATTTTAAGTAACTTCTTAGTGCAAAAACAATTCATTATTACTACAGAACACTTAGGAAATAAAATAAGCAAAAGAGAAAATTTAGAATCTTTATCTCCTCRAAGTTTCCCTGTGCCCTTCCTATCCAGTTCTCTTCTCATCACAGCTCTAAACAATGATTTGCTTTCTTTTGATTTGTTAAATTTATATTTTCTAGAGTTTTGTATAAATGAAATAATATGAGGTACTCTTTTATTTTCCCATTGTCTTTCATTCAGGATGTTATTTTTGAGCTTCATCTTATTGCATGTACCTGTAGCTAAACACACTTTTTAAATGTTAATAGGAGTAGTAAATAGATTATCTTGTGAAAATAATAAAGTCTCATTCTTTACCTGAAAATATATACTAAACAGATGAAAGATTTAAAAGTTCTAGAAGAAAAGTTGGAGAGTCTTTATCTCAGAATGGTGAATACCTTTCTAAGTATGACACAAAACCATAAAAGAGATTGATTATAAAATTAGAGTTGTGCATTGCAAAAAAACAAAAACATAAACAACATCAGTTAACTCAAAAATCAAGTAACCCAGTGGTATGGGGAAGGGTAATTCCTTAGTATATAAAAAGGTCTGTAGATCAATAAGAACAAGAATTACAACAGTTTAAAAATGAGCAAGGAGGGGACTGGGGYTATGGCTCAGCAGTAGAGCACTCACCTAGCACGTGCGAGGTGCTGGGTTCGATCCTCAGTACCACATAAAAATAAATAAATAAAATAAAGGTATTATGTCCAAYTACAACTAAAMAAAATATTTTAAAAAATGAACAAGGAACATTGTTCAGTAGGAAATATAAATGACTTTCAGAGTAGTACAAAGTTCAAGGTCAGTGATAAGTGCATATTAAAATTATAAGATACATCTTTTCAGATTCTCAGATATCAAAAAGAACTTTCTGGTATATTGTGGTTGGTGAAGTTTTAGAAAAGGCACTCTCATTTATGGTTGGGACCCTTTATGAAGGACAATTTGTTAGTTTGTTCTTTTTGTCAATATGACCTTTAAAACTTTTACCAAAAATTTAAATGTGGGGCTGGGGATGTGGCTCAAGTGGTAGCGAGCTTGCCTGGCATGWGTGGGGTCCTGGGTTCGATCCTCAGCACCACATAAAAATAAATAAAATAAAGATATTGTGTCCACCGAAAACTAAAAAATAAATATTAAAAAATTCTCTCTCTCTCAAAAAAAAAAAAAAAAAAATTAAATGTGTTTACTCCTTGAGCCTAGCAATTCCTCTTCTAGGAATTTACCCTAGATATATTCACATATGTAGAAAATTATAAACAGTAATAACATTGTTTCTAATAGCAAAATAATAGAAACAATTTGTACRTTGGTAAATGATACTAATAATATTTCACTGTATGACCATATCATTAATTTAATTGTTAAATTGTTAAAAAAGAAAGAATAATTCTTTTTGTATTATCATAGAAAAATTTCCAGCATAGTAAGTGAATAAAATAGGTATAAAACCTATTTATATTTATTTGTATATTTATTTGTATATTCATACTCCTGTTAAAGTTATATATACAATCATAGGCTTTTAGATTTGCCTGAAATATCTGATACAAAAACCTGTTACATAGTCATTATCTCTGGGGAGATATAGGCGAAGGAAGAACTTAGTTTTCATGAAATAGTTTCTGGTGTTTATAAAACACAGTATTTATAATACCTAAGTCAAAAAGGAGTTCTTTGTGCATGTCCCATAAGGTATTAAAGAACTTTTATATGCCACTTAATGGATGAACTGTAATATATTTAATCAATTTGCTACTTTAGCATTTAGGTTGTTTCTAATTTTCTGTGTTTATAAATAGTAGAAGAATGGTATAACTATATACTACAACTATTAATGAGCCTTGCCTGAATCAGTGGCGGTTTTAAAAATTACATTATTTCTTCTACTTTTAGTAACCAGCATTTTTCTATAAGTAAAAACTTCAACTCATCAACTTAAGGATAAATTATAATTCCTTTAAAAARGCAAGGTAAATATTTATTCCTTCCTTTTACTAATATTTCAAACAAGGAGTTGACTTTCAGTGTTGACAAAAAGATTCATGAATTTTTACTTACTAAATATTTATAGTTTTTATCATTATTCTTAATAATACTCAAATTGTCCTGAATTTGGCCAATAAGAGCTCCTTTCTTTCTTTCTTTTTTTTTTTTTTTTCTTTTAGGTACTAGGGATTGAACCCAGGAACACTTTATCTCTGAGTTACATCCTATCCCTTTTTACTTTTTATTTTGAGATAGGGCCTCCCTAAGTTGCCCAGGCTGGCCTTGAATTTGTGACCCTCCTCAGCCTCCTAAGAAGAGCCACCACACCCAGCTTTAAGAACATATCCCAGTAGTCTTGGAGAATTTCTTGTTTCTGGAATAATGATATGTCCCAGGCTTACTTTTTTACTTTATTTGTCCTAGATCTCACAAGGAGCCACTTTAGTAGAGAGTATCAATAGAGACTCTCATTTTCCTAGGGTTGCTATGACACCACAAACTGAGTAACAAACAGAAATGTATTTTCTCTCAGTCCAGAGGCTAGAAATCCAAAATCAGGATACTACCAGCCCTCTGCTGAAGGCTTGGGAAAGAACCCTTTCTTGCCTCTTCTAGCTTCTTGTGGTTGCTCACAATCCTTGGTGTTCCTTRGCCTGTGGCAGTRTAACTCCAATCTCTGCCTCTCTTCATGCAGGCTTCTTATGTTCAAATGTCTCTCTTCTTATGAGTGCACCAGTCATTGAATTTAGGGGCTGACTTATCCTTTATGACCTCATCTTTACTTGATTATRTCTGCACAGACCCCATAACCAAATAAAGTCATATTCACAGGTACAAGGAGTCAAGACTTCAGCATTTATTTTGGGGGAACACAGTTCACCCAACAACAAAGACCAAAACCTAGTTGTATTTATACTTATTTTTAGACCCTTTCAATAAACACYTGGAAAATACATTAGTTCATTTTTGTATTTCCTAATTTAATCATTCTTTTTTGTTTAATATATGTATTTCTTTTAACTCACACTTTTTTTTTTTTTTCCCCAGTGCTGGGGATCCAAGCCAGGGTCTTACATATGCTACTCATTCTTCTAACTCTGACCCTCATCCTCTGTCCCACAATGAACTTCTTGATTTTAAATAAAATATCTATAATAGATGATAGTCACTTAAAATAGCAGTACCAATGTTACTATGAAAAACTAAATCATGGAATGTAGGTTAAGATTTCTCTGTAGTTCCTTTGTCCTTAGTATATATAGACCAATCAATGTACATACAGAGTAATGTATGCAGTGGTAATTTGAAATCATTTTTCTGTGTGATTAGGGTACCAGTTAAGTTCATTTSTTTTAGTTTATTTTCAATTTTTGAGTTTGTTTTTTTCCTTTTGATTTTATTCTTGAAGTTATGAAAAAAAAATATATATTTTTTTTTTTGAAAGGTCAAAACTATGTGAAAAGGTATACTCTGAGAAATTTTGCTTCCAACCTTTGCCCTTCCATCCTTTTGTTATTTCCCTCTCTGTATCTCACATCTGTCCTGAAAAATAACCATTATTTTTAGTTTCTGGTTTATTCTTCCATTGTTGTTTCTTTTTGCAAAATTAAGCAAATATCTGGATATATATTTTAAATAGTGCCTTCTTATACCAAGTATGACAATACTGTTTTGTACCTTATATTTTTACTTAAAACATATCTAAATTTTTTAAGATGAACATTTATTTGGTAATTATCTGTACATTAAAAGTATAGAAAATTCTGTCCTATTGGAGTCCTTTTTTAATAAACAAAACAACTATGTTAAAACTCTCCTTTTAAATATTGTTGGACCTTACACTGACTGACAGTATTCTAATTAACCATAATTGTAACTTTCTTTGTAATGACTGACTTTCCACYGTCTAGCCAGGAGTTTGTTTTGCTGGCTTTCCTATTCTTTTCACACTACCCGCTGCCATCCTTGTAATATCCTTGCTTTCTAAYAGGATGGTTTGGGTGCATCCAAAAATTTTCTCACCATAAGGAGTAAAACAGTTACTCTCTGGGAACTTTTAGGCCTTTTAGTTAAGAATAGTATTACAGGTCAAAATTTGAGCTCTTGRAAGATTAGCAGATCCCATCAGAGTTATGCTGTTTCTGGGCCAAGTTTAGCAACTGTTGAGAAAAAGTATTTCTTCTAATTATATCTGTTTGCATTGTTTTTCTATTTTTAATTTCTGTTTTACATTCTCTATAACCTAATAAATTTTAATCCCAAATTAAAACTCTTAGAGTTTCCTATTTATAATTCTTTTCTTCATCCATTATTGTTTGGTAACCACTAAATTATTACATGGTATTTATATTTCTTTCAATTTACCAACTCCTGTCTGATCTGCCCTAAACCCGGATCCGTGATTTTGTGCGCAGCCAGACTGCGGCACCTGTCCTGTGACCATTTTTGCATTGGGGTTGTTATATTTTTCTTATTACTTGAAAAAAACTCTATTAAAGATATCACTCTTTCCTTAAAGGTTGATACCTGCTTCTTCCTTTCTCCTCAATATTGTCAGTTTGAAACACTTCTCATTGTTTTTATCCTATGAATAGCTGTAAGTAGTAAATAATCCTTATAAAGAAGCCTGAAAGAGTACACACTTCTATATAAAATGTGTGATTTGTACATGAATGATCTTCCTAAGACAAGCCCCTATATAATAGTAGTGGCTTCACAAACCAAAAATTAAATTTTCAACTTAGAGGGATCGATGAAGAGTCATAGATTAGCCATCTGCCCAAAAAAACCACGTAGTGTTTCCCATAGGTTGCCTAAAAGCAGTTCTGATCCTCTAAAGCTGCAATACCTTCCACACTACTAAAATTGTAATCATAAAGGAAGACTAAAAAACACCAACAGAAATTTCTTTTGTGGTATCARTCTCCAGGAGAAACTGACTGGATATATCTGCACCAGGTTAAAGCTAACTTCTATGATGACAATACTAGCAGTAGTGGCTATCCTTAATAAAGCTTCCATTGTGGCAGGCCCTATCCWCAGTGGTTGCATTCGTTATGAGTAATGTCATCTCTACATTGYAAATCTTATGCAAGACAGATCTTGAAAAGTTATTGCATATACTCCTAGAATATGGAAGAGCTCTCCCTCATATTTAAAGGAATTATTAGAGCTAATTACCTGGTAGGATTGTTGTGGGAGTTAGAAACAGTAGCTTACTCAAGAGTCTTACACATAGCAGAAGCTCAATAAATGGCAACTACTTTTATTAAGTACAATTTGTCCTTTTTTCTTTTTCTTAACATAATAAGCACCTTCATCTCTTATTTCTCTTAATTTCTGCTTACAGGCCACACATACCCCAAAAGCAGATGTCTAGAAAGTTAATTCATAGACTGTTTGTTTCCTAACTTTTTCATTTCTTAGCAATAAACCTTCTTCCTGATTGCATTTTATTTCATTTGATAGAGTAATTTTTCATTAATGGAAATTCACAAATGATGCATGCAAAGAAATGTTAAATTCAATTAATAAATGGTCCAAGGCCACAGGAAGCAAGGATGCTGGTAAATTCCTTTTGTTCATCTCTACAGACTCACCACCACTGCTCTTTGAGGTGTCATCCCTGGAGAATGCTTTTCAGATTGGAGGCCATCCTTGGCACTACATCATCACACCCAATAAGAAGAAACAGAAAGGAGTTTTCCATATTTGTGCCCTAAAAGATAATTCATTGGTAATCATGAGTGATCAGACTTCTTAGTAGTAAATTTATATCAGAAATTCTTTATTCTCTACCTCCTAATAGCTCTACATTCCTAAGAATTACTTTGTTTTAATAATTTGTGGGAGTATAGAGAATATAGCAAATAACTTGTGTGTATCACCCAGAATCTAAAAATATAACATTTGGAAATTCTTAAGGTATCAAGAATCTTTTTTTCTTACCAGCGTCCTAGCAAGGGACCCAAAACATCTCTCATGTTCCACAATGGGAAACACTGATGAAATATGTTCAGACTGCCTCTAAAATTGCTGTGGAATATATTATTGTTCTATTTCTATGATTTGTTGCTATTTGCCTTCCATGGCAGAATCAGATGGAATTCTGGAAATCACAGTATTGGCATTGAAACACTGAATTCTAAAGGATATTAAGTATGAATATATGGCAGAGTAGGAAGAAATGATATATGGCAAAACAATAGAAATTTCTACCTCTTGGATTCATTTTTCTTCATTTTCTTGTAAAACATGATTTAGGCATTGATTTGCTATTTGATAAACATTTATCCAGAGCCTACCATGTGCCAGACATGACTGGGAATACATTTATTTCCCTCAGTTTGCCTGTACTCTCAAAAGAAAGTAAACATATATATAAAWATATATATATATGATGTGGTGTGATCAGTACAGTGATTGATGTAAGTATAAAAGAGTTTACAAAAGAGGGAGATTTCCATTTTTGTTTTGCATTTCTGTTTAGTTTATTTATGGACCCTCTTGATATATCAGATGAGCTTGCTTTTTTTTGAGGTAGACTCAGCTTATTCTACCCTTGTCTCTTCCAGGACCTTGTACAGTCACTCTTTTGACACCAATCACTTAGAGTCACAGGTTACCTTTCACTATATTTAAAGTAAGCACATTGGTGTTAGCATTGTTCCCTTCGATTTTCTCATTTATGTATCACAATGGGCTTCTATTTGGCCCAGCCCAGTGACATCCTCTTTTATAAAGCACCTTCTAGGGACTGTTTCCTACCATGACAAATTCTCATTGTTTACCTCCTAGCCAGGATATCCTTCAGACACTGGGATCTGTCCCTTCTTTTTCATTTAACTTTTATATCCAGTGAAACCCTGCATAATTCACATTCTGGACATTTAGCACATGTTCTTCTTATATAAGAACAGATAATACATGTCCRATATATGTGTGTGTGTTACACACACACACATATATATATACATGTATGTGTTTGTTTATATATTTGTGTGTATACATATATTAATGGTGGCCTTCAACATTTATGCCAAGCATCCCTCATCCCTATCACATATTCTCATACTGTAATACCAGTTTTATTATTTTTGCTGGGCAGTTTTATTGCTGTGACATTACCTTTATGATTCATATGCATATTGCCTTCCTTTCAGTCAGAAGAATGGATAATCCCAAAACACATTAAGTAGCCAAAGAAGATTATAGAAAATGTTTCATAGCTTTCTTTATTACCCTGAGCTTTAAATCTAGCATTTGAGTAAATAATAAAAACTACAGGAACTGGTAATGAAGTTGCTAGTAGTATTTAACATAAAGAGAATTTTTTGCACATTCTATTTAGATATTATAATAAAGAGAATAGCCTTCTAAAGAAATATATGTATAGTATGTACAGTTTATATTAAACAATGGAGCTTCTGGAGCCAGTACCATCAYGGATATATTAATCTTAACTGATGACAAACAAGATGTATAATTGCATTAGTTTTCTTGTAAAGTATAATAATAATACCACCATTCCCATTAGAAATAATTAGAATACTTGTAAAAATTAATGAAAGGCTGAAACTCATTTACTAATGTGATATATAAAATGTTTTTAAATTCCAGAATTTTGGGAATTATGATATACAGAGTGCTTAACATCATAGCCCAAGCCTTAATATTTTCAGCCTCGTGCCTATATACTACTTAATTTTAGCAACTTCTCATATTTATGTACATACATAGTCTGGATTAATTCTTCTGTTCATTTRTTCTGTGCTGTCTCTTCTTTCACACTGTTTTCTGCTTGTCCTTTAAGGTTTAATTTAAGTTTTTCCTCCTGAAATTCTGTTCATCTGGATTGGTTTCTTGATAATTTCCTGGTCAGATATCCTTGTTTATGCTCAATCATTTCATCTTCTGTACTGCTTTATTATTTTCTATTTTTGTTTCTGTTTCTACCTTAGACTATAAATATCTTGATGTCTAATTCATATCAGGTACAAATGCCAACTGTAATATCTAAAATATAGTAACCAGTCAATATATGCTATGGAATTTATGAACTCTGATATTTCAAAGCTTTTATGAGAATCCATTAGGTGTGAGATATTTTATTTTACATTTGAGAAATTAAATGACTTGAATAAAGCTGAAAAAGTTATATATCTATGTTAGTATTAGTTCCCAGTGCTCCTCTGTATAAGATAGAATATTTGCATACACATGTGATCATGTGTCATACAGGGTTTTTTCCAATTTAATGTATTAATATATTGTAATGAAATAAATCTCTTTTCCAGCCTTAATTGCTAAGCAGTATTAGATTATTTCCTCAGATATGGAAGAGTTGGTTTTGGTTTTTGTTTTTTGAGACAGGGTCTTTCTATATTGCTCAGGCTGTTCTCAATCTCATAAGCTCAAATGATCCTTCCTCCTCAGCTGGAACTGTAGGCATATGCCACTATACCCCACTAGATTTGAGAATTTAACATTCATTTATTCAAGAAGATTGTGACCTGTGWCTGAGGCATTAGTGTGGTTATGTGTTTATATGCATGTTACCCACTCTTCTGATTGACAGGTAGTTGGGGATGGGAAAGGAAGGAGGAAATTGTATGGAACTGCATGAGCATAATTAGGGCAGTTATATAGTGGAGAGTTCATGGACTTTGGCGTCAGATCCTTTATATAGCAAGTTCAAAAGTGGACAAATGATTTATCTCTTTGAGTATCAGTTCCTTTAGCCATAAAATAGAGTTAATGTTTGTCTGAGTGTTATTAAGATCAAATTAAGTAGTGACCATAAAGTATCTAATGCAGTTCCCAACACAGAGTACATGCTTGAGATATGATAACTTGTATTATTATTTGTAAGGTATAATAAGTGTATAGTATAGAGTAAATTTATGGAGTTTCTGAATTCAAATGTTCTCAATTTCTCAAGTTTAGGTATTCTAATGCAGCCCTCCTACACTCCAGTTCAACTGTTAATGTTRTCTCTTCCCTATACTTGGGAATTTTTGATGCATCACTAGTGTTAGATTTGAAAAGTTATTTGATTTACTCCTAATCTTTGTCATTCCACCCCCCCCCAACTTAAGGCAAAAAATGGGATCCAAGAAATGGAGTGCTGTTCTTTGGAATCAGACTGGATTTATTTTCATCCTGATGCTTCTGGGAGAATAATACATGTTGGCCCAAATCAAATCAAGTGAGTAGTTTCAGAAACACTTTTAAATTAAAAAACAGCTTTTGMTAGCATTTATTGGCATCTTTATTTTTTACCAGCTAACTATTGAGCCAGTTATGAAAATAATTAGTTTATTGTAGGGCACTTCCTCAGAAACTGGCATCTAGAAATCTAACTTTATTTCTTTAATTTCATCATTACTATTTGTAAATATTTACATTTGAGTATAGTCTTTGAKTGATGATATATAAGTGAAAGGGACTTACAGATTGGCTGCCCTTACCAGATCCTAATTCTCTAGGATTAATAAGAAATGAGATGATTTATCCTTATTCTGAAAGACAGCCCTAACACAAGAAAGGTAGTGGGTTGTTTTTTGTTTTAGGTTTTTTTGCTTTTACACATCTCCCATAAATTGACTTGTCCTCCCTTGAAGTGTTCTCCATTTGGTTTTCCTGACACCTCAGTTCTCCTGAATATTTTCCTCCTTCTCCTATATGTCTTTTTTGGTAACCTTATATGCTTGCTCTTCTCTACCCAGACTTTCTAATTGTTGAATATCCTTAGTACTTGGGCTTTCTTCTCAGTAGTCATTCTTTTTCTTCATGATTCTATTTATTCCCTTGTCTTCAAATATCATATATATGTACCAAAAACCCTAACATTTATATCCTAACTCAAACTTCTCATCTAAGCTTATGCCAGAAATCTGGAATTCTTTTTGATACCTTACTTTCTTGTCTTTCATCAGCATGCACACACTTAAACACGTGTGCATTGTCAGGGTGGACACCCAGACCTAGGAAGAAGATTCTGGATCCTGGCAGGTGGAAGAGGATACAAGATGCAGTTGGGATGATAGATTTTCTTTGTTTGGTGGTAATAACCCCTATCCAGCCTCATTTTGTCCCAACCAGTTCCATTTAACCCCCTAAGCCATTTCCATAGGCCTTTTTTTTTTATATGCAGGCCAGATGAAGGAGGCACATTGCCAATAGGTTATAAAAGTGGGTGCATGCTTATAAGCAAATATTTATGACCTTGAGTACATCCGCTGAATCAGGGTGTTTGTGACCTTGGCTACATACTAAAAACATAGCCCCCTGAAAATCTCAGTGAGGGAGCCTAATTATAGCCATCTTGGGCCTGCCCTACATGCATTCTCCCTTTTTCCTCCCTTCTCTCCCCACACACACATCATATCTTCTGTTAATACAGTCTATTTCACTACTAAATATTTTTTAAGTGTGCCTATTTCTACCATGGCCACTCATCATTTTGGTCAGACAGCTGTCATCACTAACCTTGACTACTTAGAGGGCATCCAGAATCCATTCTTGCACTTTATTTTTTTCTTCTCAGCAGTGAGAATCATTTTCAGAAACATGAACAGGTATAAAAAAACCTAAGCAACTGAATTCTGTTTTAACCATTTTGTGGCTTCTTGTTGCTCTTAGAATATAGACCAATATAGTTGACAGGGTCTGAAAGACCTCTTCCCACTCAGTTAACTTCAATCATGCTGTGTTTTTTAGACAGCTGAGGACCTATTTTCTTGAATTGGAGTCTGTTTTCTGTTCTGGCCTAACCCACATGTCACTTTTTGACAGAGACCTTTCCTGATACCCTTGTTAGATTTACTCACCCACCATATTTTCATTGTGTAATCTTGCACATAGAACAATTTTAATTAATTCTCCATAATGAAAGGAGAAGGTCTGTTTTGTTGATACCAGCAACCCCAGTGCTGAGCACAGTGTTTGACACAGAACAGATACTCAGTAAGTATTTGTTAAATAAGAACAGTGTCTGCCTTTTTTCTTCTTTATGCTTCATAATAATCAGTCTACCTCTCTTCATCTCTTCTTAGGAGGATGAAAGGATTTAACAAAATAAGTTTATTAACTTTTACAAAACATTTTAAACTATGATTCAGCTTCAATAAACCTTACTTTGATGTTTATTATCACCCATCCTTTTAATGTTTGTTATCAATCATAATTAGTTTTAAGAAAATAAGGCCCACAAAGACTATGTGTCCTTTTGCCAGGTTTTAAAAGATAGATACTTTTATATTGTCACTAATTCAGATAACTAATCAAGTAATTTAAAATATTATCTGATTTTTGTTTGTTTGTTTCTGGAAACTCTGAGGCATGTAGCTATCCCTGGGCACTGTACCTGCTTCTCCCAACTGTGCTCTTTACATGCACTTGAGACTTTGAGCATTTGAGAACATTGTGCTTTTGAAGCTTATTGATGATCTGATCGTATTTGTGTGGGTAGTGAGCAAATTATTTTCTCTTCCTGAATAAGCTGATCCATGAGGTCATTTGAACTCAGAAAAGCCAAATCTTCAATCCAAAGAAAAACATATTGTCAGTTGCAGTTTTTAACTATTACTCTATCATAAAAACTTAGTTCAGATTTAGTTGCTAGTCTGCTTTATAGTTAACTCTAAATATTGTTCATAGATATCTCATTCTATCTTCAGAAATAAAAATGGAAATAAAGGAGCTAGGGATATAGCTCAGTTGGTAGAGCACTTGCCTTACATGCACAAGGCCCTGGGTTCAGTCCTCAGCTCCAAAAAAAAAAAGGAAATATATATTGTAATGCCATCCTTAAAACTGAGATATTAAAGACCTGTTGCAGGTGAGAAATGAGGTTCTATAGATTAAATTTAATTAAGCCAGTTTAGAAGATGTTTAGGCCTGAGCAAGCTGTTTCATGCCTACTTCATGCCTAGTACCTGTTTTAACAGTTGCTGTTTCCTATTTAATAAACTCTTTAAGTTGGAAAGAGTTTAATGATCAGACGTGAATATTGCAGATTAATTTATTTTCATTTGTTGGGTTTCATTTAAGTAATTCAGCTTTGGCACTTTGATGGTTTTTGAGTTCTTAGATTTGTATTTTTCTTTTTCAGAGTTTTAAAGCTAAATGAAATAGAAAATAATAGCTCTCAGCATCAGATCTCTGAAGATTTTGTCATTTTGGCCAACAGGGAGAACAAAGTAAGTCAGAATACTTTAAAATCCTTTGTATATAATTGTCTTTCTTTGTAAGAGTATATAATATACATATATGTTTGCCTTGAGTATGCCTGAAAATAATAGCACAACCCTATAAGTTTATTCATGTTGTCTACATGGGTCTTAGACCCAGGTACTTAATAGATTTGAAAAGAGTTGGTTGATTGTATTGAGTTTATCTTTTGCTTGTTCTTCTGCATTTCTCTTTTAAGTTTTTAATGAATTTCAACCTTTGGGTCCAATTACTTGTGCAAATTTAGGATTAGGAAGATATGGTAAATCTCTAAATTTATATCCCATACTTGAACTCCAGATGGTACTTTTCCTTTGGTACTTTTCCTTAGTGTATAAATCAAGAACATAAAGAAAATGATGAGGAGGGAAATTTCTAAAAGCAAATCTATTTTTTATTTATTATTTTTTAAACTGTTAAGTCAAAAGTATAAAGGATGGATTAAGCAGCAAACCTATAACCTTTTAATTAATTAACTTTTGCCTATTCTGGGATTTTATCCACTTAAAGCCTTTACCACAATAAAGTACTTTTACTAACTGAAGGATTAGAAATCTGATTCAGAATTTTCTCAGTTAGGAAAGAATTGTTGATGTTAAAGAAGGGCTGGTTAGTTTTACCCATTTGTTAATACAATTTTGCCTTTMACTGCATGTAACAGAATTTGTTGTATCTTTTTATTTCTCTCCATGTGATAGAATGAAAATTTAGTCACTGTTACTGCTTCTGGACGGGTGGTCAAAAAAAGTTTTAACCTTCTGGATGATGACCCAGAACAAGAGGTATTACTTTAGCCTAAGATAACAAAGCATACCAGTGTGTACTTACACTATACGTTTCAAATTATTGCTTTTAGATTGTATTTGTGTGGGTGGTGAGCTAGAGATTAGGGCTAGGGATTTTCTCTAGGCCAAATGGTAGGATTATGTACAATTATAGTGTACAGCCCCATTATCCTCTTTTTTTTTTTTTTTTTTTTTTTTTCTTGGCTAGAGCTCTGTAATGTTTGGAACAATCAATAAAAAAAAAAAAAATTAAAAAAAATTTAAAAAGTGCCATTATCCTCTTTTTTTATTGGAATTATTCATAATATTTTGTATGAAAGTTCATAGGGCCAAAATAATTTGAAAACATGATTAACTCATTGGTTTTTTGTTGTTGTTGTTGTTGATATATTTTCTAAGAAAATCTCTTAATAGAAAATTCTCAAGATTATATCAGCATGCCTTTATGACCTTTACCTTATTTTTTTACTTACTAGATATGGATATGTTGTTMATATTCATGGGCCAGAGAAAGTAGGTGTGAGGGTATGACAAGTCCTTTCAGCCTTTGCCCTCAACTTGGCATCACCAATCACCTAATATATTTTTATCTCTTTCCTTTAGAGACATTGAAAGTATTATAAAAGCCTTAAATATAAAACTATTGCATAATACTAAATCCACTTAAACCTTATAACTGTATTGTTTGTATGAGCATATCAAGGTGGAAACAGAGTCACCTTCTAAGGACAGTTTTTTAAAATCTTCTTAAATAGGTTAGATGTAGCCCAGGATATGGTGTTCTGTCAAAAAACAAAAAATTATATTCTTTTGGATCATAGAAATCTATTAAGAACGAAGCAAAAAGCTTCCTACACCATATATGAAAGTATATTCAAGAAAGATTTAGTCAAATTGCCAAATAGTAGCAGAAGTAAGGGGCAAAGAGTGACAATAAATAGAGAGATGCTCTGTTTCATGAGGTTATGAAGCAAAATCTTTTAGCCTTTAAATGAAAAATTGAAAGGGATTCTGGCTAAAATCTATAAAATCACTAATAGGTAATAAGTTACATTTTGAAAGTTGACCATGGTAATAAGGAAAAAAAGTAAATATAAAGGAATCATAGATAAMAAATCTATAAATTTTTGTCATAAAGTGGTAAAGACAGAAAATACAAAGGGGTTAAAAAGCAGTTTGACCAAGCATAAGTGAAGGATGAATTAGTAGTTAGTGATTAAGAGAAACTTTTGAGCCTTCCTAAAGGTTGATAACAGGCATCTGGTCCATTATTGGCTGGCCATGCACTGATCTGCCTCCCCAGGTTTTCTCCCTACAGGCAGAGTTCTGATTTTTTTGTTTGTTTTGTTTTTGTTTTTGTTTCTCTCTTTACCATGACTAAGCCTTCTTGACCCAGTTCTGTTCTGTAGGTTGGATTTCAGTTCCTAATATTTCCTCTCAAGTATAGATAGCCATTTTTCTTTCTTTAGGGAACCAAAAAGGATTTTTAAAAGAACCAAAAGGGGGCTGGAGTTGTGGCTCATCGGTAGAGCACTCGCCTAGCAAAGGCAAGGCCCTGGGTTCGATCCCCAACACTAYATAAAAATAAATAAAGACCAAAAAAATGGAATCATAAAAAAAAAAAAAAAAACGGATGGCAAATAAGAGTCATAAATAGTGCATGATAGGTTATCAGTCCTTGAAATGACTGTTTTCCAGAATGAGAACTTTTAGAGCTCAGAGAGCAGTCTTCAGGTTTCAAATCTGAGCTTCTTATATTTAGACCAGAAACCTATGAACACACATCAAAGGCAGCAGTTGACTACTTTGAATTTGGAGAGGTCTGATTTGCTGTCATTGTAGAGATTCCATTTTTACTCTGAGATATATATATATATATATATATATATATATATATATATATATATAAACTTGGATCCATTTGTCAAAATCTTTAGGATATTGCTAAGTCTTCAAAGTCTGAGGCTGATGTTTTACTAGGCATATGAATAGACACATTTCTACTTTTTCACCTATTCACTTTTCCTTTGGCCATATGTTTGTAAGTAATAGAAGAGTTAAACTATAAATGTAGTAATACTCCTAATTGAATAACTAGATTTGAACCCTCTTTTCATTGCCTTACCCATCTATCCCCAAGACTTTCAAAATTGTGGATTATGAAGATGAGTTGGATTTGCTTTCTGTGGTAGCTGTTACACAAATAGATGCTGAAGGAAAAGCTCACCTGGATTTCCACTGTAATGAATATGGAACTTTACTTAAAAGCATTCCACTAGTGGAGTCATGGGATGTGGTAAGTAGAAATGATGGGACACAAAATTATGAGTTTTCTTTATGGGTGTCATTTACTGGAAAAGGTGTTACGTTTTACTTGTCCAGACTCGTCTATGCTGGTGACCACATGAAATAAGTCATTGTCCAATACATGAAACAAAATGAGCTTTCTTAAGCTTCCCCAGCACTCAGGGACGCTTCCCTTAGTGAAGGCCTTAAAAAGAAAGCTCTCATGTTTTCCTGAGACTTTCTTCCTTACCATAGTATGATTTTCTCCCAATTATGTCTTTGTTAAATRCAAAGTATAAGATAATTAGTCCCAGTTATTCTGGACCATCTTTAAGCAAGTTGGATTTCCAGGCACTCTTAGAAACATTTGTCTCCTCTTCCAACTATTATAGAATATAAAAGTTAAAAGGAACACCAGACATTCTATCCAGGACTCGTTTTATCAAAGGAAAACTTGAGAGGCACCACAGCTTGTRCCCCATCACACAGTAAAATAAATATTAGCAGTGTTTCACTATAGAATCTTGATATTTAGACTCCTAAGTTCAGAATTCTTTTCATTCTTTTATACAGTGTTTTTTTTCACTAGTAATCTTTATATCCACAAACAATTAAAAATAAATGTTTTGTGTATTCATTGTATATTTAATGATCTCAAGTGACACAATAATGAATATGGTTCTGTGAAAATGAGATTTCATATGACTGTTTTTATTACAGACATATAGCCATGAAGTCTACTTTGACAGAGACTTGGTGCTACACATAGAACAGAAACCAAACAGGGTCTTCAGCTGCTATGTTTACCAGATGGTATGTGACCCTGCGGAAGAAGAAGAAATCCTAAAGAAAAGTTGTTAAAAGGAGTGAAATAATTATAACTTATGAAACTTTTAGCCAAACAACCCAGCAACTGTGTTCCAATCCTCCTTTTATTATTTGCATGGCACATTCTGCAGTATTTTCCAGAAAAAGTGTTCGGTTGACTTTAGATGACTAAAGCTCTTWCCATAGAAGGTGCTGAGAACTTCATTTTATGAAAAGGTTTGTGTATTTTTTAAAATGTTGTCCCAACAAGTCTAGTTTTTTGGACTTTTAGCTACGTGCTAATGCAAATATAAAATGCTGAAAGCAGAAAGGACAGGTTAATTCCAGTTGGTGTGGAGAGTGTCACTGATGTGGAGATGTCTAACCCAGTTCTTAAAGGACAGTATAGAATTGTGATTGGTAAGGGTAGGAAAGAGACAAAAATAGATACAAATTATAGATTCAGAAAAAATTCTGTCTACTCTGTACCAAATTTTGCTTGAGGATGAGAAATGAGGTGTAGAATGTGAAAACATAGTTTTGAGCCAAAATGTTGACATTAAGAGTGTTTTTTTTAAATCATATATATGTATATAGGATTTTGTATTTGTATACCGTATCAAGGATTAACTCTAACTCCCAAATTACCTTTCTTCCATGGTTTTATTCTTTTGGCTTAATGTCCCATTGAGTATTTGTGCTTGTATTATAGACTAATATAAAAGATTCCAAGCAAACGTGAATGAAATTTTTTCTGATATGTAGCCTTTTTAACTCAGTGTTTCTAAGGATGCTCTCATTTCACCATTCTATTTATTTAGTGAGTCTAACCATTTTGTTGAGGCAATATTTTCATACCTATGCAAGAAAATAAAGGTACTCTGACCTGCACCAATTGAATTCCCTGGAGAAGAGTTGATAAGGTCCCAGAGGAAGTTCTTCCTAATGTGAAAATTACCCAATTAGCCAGAGAAAAATTTGGCTATCTTAGTTATGAAAGGAGTATTTTTCCCTTCATTTTTAAGAACAAGTCTAAATATGATACTTAAACTCCAATAATCATTCTTCATACTATTAAAAAAAGGCAGCTAAGCCTTTATATAGGGAGGAAACGTTTCTTTATACTTCCTGTCTGAGAAATGCAGTTATTGCAATCCATATGTTTAGCATATTTCTTTGGTTCAGCCTCAGAAAAATAACTAGTTTAAAAAAAGAAGAAGGAAACATTTGTTTAAAAAAAATCATTGCTGATTCAAGCTTAAAATTAAAATGTGGAATTTTAGCTTGAATGATTTACATTAAAATCCTTCAGTTTTGGCTCAATCCCATATTAAGAATGATGTGAAATCTATTCCATTCTGCCCTTGAAAGTTTGGAAATAGATTTCAGATTTATTATGATCATAGGACTAACAAAGTGTTAGCTGTTCCAAACGTTAAGGAATTGGTAGCAGGGTCAGTAAATTTAAAGGAAATAAACCTAAAACTGTCCTTTATGTAAAAGGAAAAAATAAATAAATAAGGGATATTCAACTTATAGTTTTTCTTATCTGATGCTTGGAACTAGAAGTGTTTTAGAATTCTATTTTTTTCCAATTTGAGAATATTTGCATGTACATAATGAGGTCTTGGCAATGAGACCCAAGTCTAAATATGAAATGCTTTTATGTTTCATATATACCTTATTCACATACCCTGAAGGTCATTTTATACAATGTTTCTAGTGTGCCTACTTTTTTTTTTTTTTTTTTTGGTGGTGCTGGGGATTGAACTCAGGGCCTTATATATGCAAGGCAAGCACTCTACAACTGAGCCTTGTGTGCCTACATTTTGACTGTGTTTTATCACATGAAGTCAGGTGTTAAAATTTTCCATTTGTGGCATCATGTTAGTAATCAAAACGTTTCAGATTTTGGACTTTGGATTTTTCAGATTAGGGATACTTAACCTGTACTGACATTATAAAATAAGCTGAAATATTTATATGTGAGCTAAAAATAATTTTTTCTGAATCTGATCCTCTGTATAATAACCATCTGGGAAAGTAGAAGTGATTACCTCACAAGCAAGATGATAAAATTATCTTCATGTTAAATTATAATATTTATTATCTGCTTACTTAAAAATATATTTTGTGCATATTTAATAAATACTGTTTAATATCTCTTAAGCTTTCAGAGATTTTAAAGATATTATTATGATTACAAAGCAATTAAATAGTTATAGTGTGCTARATCTTGCCGCAAATTTTCAGTTAGACACTAGCTATATCTAAGCAATCCTGCATAGTAAATGTACATCCTGAAAAACAAGTCTGGTAAGAGGAGCACAATAGCAGAGAAAAGAAAGAAAACAATGCTATGTGAGCTTCAAAGCAAGTGCAGTGCTGTGTATCAGCAGTGTTTGCTCTTCATTTCTAGAGAACAAGGTTGTCTTTAGACTTCAGTTCTGGCAGAGTTTTGTTGTTTTTAAGGTAGTTATTGGGTTTTTCCTCTTTTAATTCATCGYCGACTTTTAATAAAACGATAGAGAGGAACTCATCTACTCAGAAAGGCATTTGAGAAATACCTGCAGTGCCTGGCAGGGTTAGGAGTAGGATCCTTCTAGTCTAGATAGGAATAGACCACTAAGAAATTTGTAATGTATCATCACCATTGAAATCTGACTAGACTAGGCCAAATGCCATACAGGATAGGCAGGAAATACACCTAGTGTGAAAGACAGTAGGGAATTGTGGACAATGTAACAAACAGGAGAGCTAAGTCCCAACTAAAAGGATAAGCTGCAAGTACTTAGTTTCAGCCAATTTAACAATATATGAGAATGTAAACTAGATRATTGATAAACAATGCCAGATGTCTGGGGTTGTAGCTCAACAGTAAAGTGTACACAGCAGGTGCAAGAGTGCTGAGTTCAATCCTCAGCACTGCAAAAGAAAAGATGCCAAAAGATACTGAAGATAGCAAAGAATGTGGGAAAATTAAATAGCACAAATAACAAGAGACAGTACTATATGCTTCCCCAAAGATATGGGCTTCCTATCATTCTAATGTCATGCACCTTCTCATTCTGCCACCTGTCAGACAGCAGACTTTGCTATTCAGTTTGTGGGTGATAGGGCATGATACTTAACATCTTCCTGTCCCACCTTGACCCTACCTCTCCACTGGCTATGTGACTCTAACTATGTGCCAACATACTTAATAAGTGCTAGTGACAGGTACAAAACATTATGGGTAAAATTTCTGAGTGTTTAATACAAGACCCAGTGAAGTAGGTTGCTTTTCAGCAAGTACAGACATTAAACTGAAAAGAGATACATTTCTGCATTTCACTCCTTGATCTAAGTTTCTGTATTTTCACACTATCGATGCAACAAGTTTATTATTCTTTGACTTTCTACATTATTTCTTTCAACTCTGGGAGAAGACAAAACAAATCCTATCAGTTATTGTTTGAACAGACAAATGAAGAGAAGATAATATTCTATTTAAACAAATTAAGGCACTCAACATTCTTCTACCAATTGAATGTTTTGTATCTTATGCACACTTATTTTTAATAACGGAAACTTAATTTTATTATTTCCTGTATACCAGTCATTAAGACACATGTAAAATGGTTGTCTCACTTGATATTCAAAATAATCATATGAGGTATAAGCTATCATCTTTCCCTTTTATACATATGAGAGAAGAAAGTGAAGCTTATATAAGTTAATTTGCTCAAGTTCCTGTAATTAATAAATGCAGAGATGGGAAACACATGTTGATTTTTTTTTTATAAACTTATGCCAGTTTTCTCCAACACTCTCAAAAGGCAGTGGATGTTATTTTAGCCTATATGTGGTATAACATACTTAGAATTATAATAGGTATGAAGGAAAGTGTTTAGTTTTTTTTTTTTTTTTTTTTTAAGTACTGAGGATTGAACCCAGAGGTACTTTTACCACTGAGCTACATCCCCAGTCCTTTTTTTATTTTGAAACTGTCTCACTAAGTTGCTTAGGGCCTTGCTCGGTTGCTGAGGCTGGTCTTGAACTTTCAGTCCTCCTGCCTCAGCCTCCCAAGTCTCTGGGATTACAGGCATGTGCCACCAGGCCCAGCTTGTGTGTTTTAAAGGATGATTAAAGATCTAAATTTTGGATAAGACACAGTCAATAAGTCCATCATTTGACAGAAAAGATGGTTCTTCTTTCAGTAGTTAGAAGATGTTTAAAAATGATACTCATTTTAATACTCAGTGATATTAATTGTAGTGACAATAAACATTATTTTCAATAATACGTTTCTTTTTTATTTTTAGTTGTGGACAGATACAATAACTTTATTTTATGAATTTATTTTTATAAGGTGCTGTGGATCAAACCCAGTGCCTCTCATGTGCTAGGCAAGCGCTCTACCACTGAACCACAACCCTAGCCCCAGGAATATGTTTCTTCTTTTCCTTAACCATGTTTAAACATGTATCATCTACCTTTTAGAATCCTTAAAAAAATTCAGAAGCTAATGTTTGGTCCCTGTGCTGCAATAGAATCTATGTTTTACGGAAAGAAACTTTACTTCAAGCAAAGGATATATAAGAGAAACATAAAATCAACTAAGGACCTTTCCCCATCATTTTATTATGAAAATTTTGAATATACAGTAAAGTTGAAAGAATTTTATAGTGAATAACCAAACACTAACCACATGGATTTGACATTTTATTAAACTGGTTTTACTGTTTACCTGTCCAGCTTACTATTCAGCACATGTCAAAATAAATTGCAGATGTCAGCATACTGCCCCCAAAATATTAGCATGTTTATGATTATTTAGTATTTATTTTTAAATTTAAAATTTAATGCAATAAAATGCACAATTTTTCAGTATAAATTTCCTCAGTTTTTTGCAAATGTGTAACCTAAACCCTTTTCAAAATTGAAACCATTGCAATCATCCCAAAAAGTTTCCTACTATCTCTTCCCAAGCCATCTCCATCCCTCACGTGTGACTCTTTTCTGATTCTTTTGTATCCTGGATTAGATTTTCCTGTCCTAAAACTTCATTTCACCCATCATAATGTTTTTGAGATTTATTTATGTTGTTGTATATTTCAATTGCTGAGTAATATTTTGTATGAATGTCACAGTTTTCTATCTTCTTGTTGATAGATCCCTGCACTATTTCTGCTTTTGTTTGTTTGATTTTACTATTATAAATAAAACTGCTTTAGACATTCTTGTACACATTTTTTTGTGAATGTCTTTATTTCTCTTGGATACATTTCTTGGGATAGAATTTTTGTGTCCTCTGGTAGGTGTATGTTTAATAAGAAACGGCCAGACCTTTTTCCAAAGGAGGAGGATACCATTTCACTTACCTCAAACACTGTAGAAGACTTCCAGTTACTCTATATTTTACTTAACATTCATGGTTGATAGCCTTTCTTAACATTTATGATGGACGTGTTATCACTTCTAATTGATAGATTGTTTCTACTYGTTTTTAACAGCCTTCTTATGAATGATATTTGAGGTCTTTATTCTTTTCACACTGCACCCTCACCTTGAGGAACTGCTGAAAACATTCTTTGTGATAATTGTTAAGATAACTCACAACTCAGGTTGCAAATGTATAACCTAAACCTTTTTCAAAGGGGCTGTTAGCTCAGTGGTAGAGTGCCTGCCTAATATGTGTGAGGCTCTGAGTTCAATTTACAGCACTGCGTATAAATAAATAAATAAATAAATAAATAAATGTATGTATGTATGTCCATCAACAACTAAACATATATTTTATTTTTTTTAATATTTTTTTTAGTTGTAGATGGACACAATACCTTTATTTTTATTTATTTATTTTTATGTGATGCTGAGAATTGAACCCAGTGCCTCACACATGCTAGGCAAGTGCTCTACCACTGAGCTACAACCCCAGCCCTAAACATATATTTTAAAAAGAATATTTTTTAAAAAGATAGCCCACAACTCAGCTTGAATTATTCTTTATCAAACAGGGAATATAATCAGGTGAATTTTTCTCTAACATGAAAGTGTATTAAATAAGTTTTATGCCTTTCCCACTAACTGTAGTGTTCTAGGCTATATATGTTGTGATACTACATATTATATTCATGTTTTAGAACTGTTAAAAAATTTAGAAACTTTCATTTTTTTCTTTCACTCTTTCTGATTATCAATTTGAGTTCCCTAAAATTTGTTCCAAAGAGTACAGATTCATGACCCAGCTATCCCTCTCCTTGGTCTATACCCAAAGGACTTAAAAATAGCATACTACAGGGACACAGCCACATCAATGTTTATCGCAGTACAATTCACAATAGCTAAACTGTGGAGCCAACCTAGATGCCCTTCAATAGATGAATGGATTAAAAAAATGTGGCACATATACACAATGGAATATTACTCAGCAATAAAAGAGAATTAAATCATGGCATGGAGTTAGAGAACATAATGCCAAGTGCAGTTAGCCAATCCCCAAAACCCAAATGCCGAATATTTTCTTTGATATAAGGAGGTTGATTCATAGTGGGATAGGGAGAGGGAGCATGGGAGGAATAGACGAACTCTAGAGAGGGTAGAGGGGTTGGAGGGGAAGGGAGGGGGCATGGGATTATTAGTGAAGGTGGAATGTGATGATCATTATTATCCAAAGTACAGGTATGAAGACACTAATTGTGTGAATATACTTTGTATACAACCAGAGATAGGAAAAATTGTGCTGTATATGTGTAATAAGAATTGTAATGCATTCTGCTATCATATATAAATAAAAAATAAATAGATTTTTTTTTTTAAAAGAGTACAGATTCAGTCCCTTTCCTCATAGTCACTTAAACCCTATCTGGGAGACTGGGAATCTCTGCCTCTTCTATAGACCCACTAAAAAATACCACACACAGGGTACTAGGATCGCTTGTAGAATCCCATGAGATTAATAGATAATAGCAATGAAAGGGAGGTTTCAAACCAGCAAAAGCTTGAAAAACTTGTCTGATAATTCTATTTAACTTCTTGGTTGGTGTCTTTTTCCCCCCMGGTACTAAGGATTGACCTAGGGCCTCATGCATTCTAAGGCATATGCAGTACCACTAAGCTATACCCTTACCCCCATTATGATTCTTTATTAGAGGCAACACTGAATTTGACTTTCGAAAAAATCTTGGATAAATAYTAATTATTTTCTCAATTAAAATAGCCAACTTTGAAAAGCAATAAATCCAGCAAATGTCAGCAAATAAAATCAAATTATAATTTAGAATTATCATATTTTTAGATTTTCATAACAGACTTATTGAGATAAAATTGACATACAATAAACTGGACATATTTAAAGTATATAATTTGGTAAATTTTGTCATTTGTATACTCATGAAACTATCATCACAATTAAGATAATGACCATACTTATCACTCCAAAAATTTTCCTCATACTCCTTTTTAATCCTTCTCTTGAGCCCTTCTCATCCCTTTTCCCAAGGCAACCTCTCATCTGTTTCTGTCACTTGAGATGAATTTGCATTTTCTATCATTGTATGTAAATGGATTATACAATAAGTGCTCTTTCTGTCTTCTTTCTTTCAGTGTGGTTATTTTGAGATTCATCTGTATTACATGTATCCTTAGTTCATTTTTTTCCATGTTTTTATTGGTACATTGTAATTCTACCTAATGATGGGATTTGATGTTACACATTTGTACATACACACAAATAGCAATATAATTTGGCCTATATGAAATTCTGTAGTGTTTCCCCTTTCCCTCCCACCTCCTCCCCCTGGTTCCTTTCCTCTATTCAGCTGATTTCCTTTCAATTTTTATTAATTCCCTCCCCAACTTTTCTTCTTTAGCTTTCACATGAGAAAAAAAAACAGTTTGGCTTACTTCACTTAATGTTCTCAAGTTTCATCCATTTTCCTGCAAATGACATAATTTTATTTTTCCTTATGACTGAATAAAATGCTGTTGTAKATATACATGTATATCACATTTTCTTTATCTGTTCACCCATTGATACCTAGGCTGGTTCCAGAATTTGGCTATTGTAAATTGTGCTGCTATAAACATGGGTATGCATGTATCACTATATCATATGCATGTATGCAGACTTTAATTCTTTTTTTAATATTTACTTTTAAGTTTTAGGTGGACACAATATCTTTATTTTACATTTATATGGGCTGAGTGCCTCCTGTATGCTAGGCAGGCACTCTACCACTGAGCCAYAACCCCAGCTCCCAGACTTTAATTCTTTAGAATTAATATGGAGGAGGGATATAGCAGTTCATATGGTAGTTTCATTTCTAGTCTTTTGAGAATCCTCTATACCAGTTTCCAAGGTGGTTGTACTAATTTGTAATCCTACCAAGAATGTAAAATTGTTCCTTTTTCGCCGTATCCTCTCCAGCATTTATTATTTATATTCTTTTTTAAAATATTTTTTAGTTATACTTGGACACAATATCTTTATTTTGTTTATTTATTTTTATGTGGTGCTGAGGATTCAAACCCAGTGCCTCACATGTGAGAGGCAAGCTCTCTGCCACTGAGCCACAACCCCAGCCCTATTATTTATATTCTTGATGTTTGCCATTCTAACTGGAGTGAGATGAAATCTCAGTGTAGTGTTGATTTGCATTTCCCTAATTGATAATTGTGTTGAGCATTTTTTCATATATTTGTTGGCCATTAGTATTTCTTATTTTAAGAAATGTTTGTTCATTTAGTAGAATTCATGAACAAACATTTCTTAAAATAAGAAATACTGGTTCTGGGCTTTTCCTTGTTGGAAAACTTTTCATTACTGTTTCTATCTCATTTGCAGTTATTGGTCTGTTCTGGTTTCCTATGTCCTCTTGATACAATTTTGGCAAGTTGTATATATCTAGAAATGTATCCATTTCTTCTAGGTTTTCAAATTT